ATCGGAATTGAAACCAGAGCAGTATGATGCCCTGCATCATTATCTACTGAGGGATGATGTATTTTGCGTGCTGCCCACAGGTTACGGCAAGTCCCTGATATTCAGCCTTATCTTTGATTGGTCCGGATTTGAACAAAGCGCGCTTTGACTCGTTCGCGTTCATTGGCTAGATCGTTCAATGAGTCATTGAGTGCGGGCTTTAAATTTGATTGGCGGGCGGCGGGGGCACTCGAATCTGGTCAGAGGTTACTTGACACGATGGAGATAGGCTACAGTGAAAAGGTTAGTGTCAAGTTAGCTCTGAAGCTCAGGGTGGGTTTTGGGCCACTTTCTTGGGATATTAATTCATTTCTAATTTACTTGATAAAGAAGCACAGTGACTTTAGAAGTTATTGTTAGGAAAGTGAAGGGTTACTGGCTTTTCTTGGCCAGTTAGGACTTATTGCAGCCAGTGATGCCACATCTACCTCTTATTGCAGAACCATATACCAATCTACAGAATCCATCTTCTTCCTTTTGACTTGTTATCATTGTATATTTTTTAATAACTTACTTCTCTTGGTGCACCAAAATTATTGCTGTAAATACTACTATTATAGAGACATTTCCATTATGCTCATAGCTTATACATCTTTTCATCTTAGAGAACTGCAAATTGTTATCTGAGCTTACTTTCAAGCTAAATTATTCAAACTTCTCCTTATTATCGTCTATTAGATACTGGTTGCACACATTTTTTCCTTGGGCATAAGGCTAGGAAGTCTCCTTATTATCGTCTATTAGATACTGGTTGCACACATTTTTTCCTTGGGCATAAGGCTAGGAAGTCTCCTTATTATCGTCTATTAGATACTGGTTGCACACATTTTTTCCTTGGGCATAAGGCTGGGAAGTGAGAAATAAAAGAGAACTAACACATCACCTAGAAAATTACTGGTTTGCATGTTGCGACATACATGCTGCGGAGGACCTGTCAGAAGGGATGATTTTTGGGTGCCTTTTCGATGGTGATTTTATCGAAAAATAAAAGGAACAAAATGAGGCTGAGGTTGCTTTGGTTTACAAACATGTACCTTGGGGTTTTTGCTGGAGCTAAAAGTGGATATTAAACTTTTGGAGACGAAAATGTGTTTAATTTGGTGAAAAGAAAATTGTACTGCTCAATGGAAAAAGGGTCCAATTTTGTATTTGATGATGTAAATCAGTCATTGTTTGGTCTTGGTAAAGCCTAACATGAACATGACTTCAGTTTCGTTGCCATTTTCCAGAAACATCCCCATGAGTTTCAGAGGTTTCACTGGGAAATCACCTCTACGTTCTCAGCATGCTTCTGACATTTCCAGTAACTTCTGACCAAATACTGGACACAGCAGACTGGATTCATGCTGATATTGTAGAGGTCTCTTGTGGTCTCTGAAAGTCTTGGTGGGCATGACAGGCCCTTCAATTTATGTACTACACACACATACACACACAAAAAAATGTTCGGAAACAAAAATTTATTTTCCAATAATTATAAAACTACTTAATGTAGTGGGAAAATGTTCATTGTATATAAAAAATGTAACAAAATCTGGGTGCATTATCCATCAATATTTCTTGAAAATAATTTCCTTGACTCATATATGTGGTCATTATATAATTGTTCAAAAAAATGATGTTTCCCGACTTTTTTTGGGTCAAATATATATACTGTGCATCACTGTATGTTAGACAACCTATATAAAAGGGTAGATAGTTAACAGTAGTCCTAGTGTTGGTCCAGCAGCATGTTGGTTGTACTGTGGAGTATCATAGTATGGGGTAGGTACTGGCTTGGTGTGTGGTGGTATCCTATTGTGCTGTGTTTGTAAACCAATTTCACGTCACCTGATGGCTTTGATAGGGTGTCAAAAAGCCCAAGATTGACAGATTTTACTTCCTTACTTTTTGCTCAAAGAGGCTGGCCAAATTTGACAGGACATATTTTCAGAAGTTAAAGCAAAGAGCATGGTGAACTTAAAAGTTACAAGAATGTTTTTTTCAGAAAACAAAAAATATTACTACTGCAATATTTCAATGTTTCACTAGACACCATCATGGAATGAAGATATATGTGTTGAAAACTTGTTTTTTTCTTCCAGTATATAATACAACTGATGAAATTCTTTGTTTGTGAATTCAATTTTGATAATTCACAAAAATAATTGCCAGTTGCGTTGGCAAGCCAGAATTGTTAGAAACTCAAAAAAATTGACACCAATGAAAGCGGTTTATAATGAGATATGTGCAGTGCTGTTTATGTAGCCTTATGAATTTAGCATGGTTGTTTGTGTTGCTTTACTTGTTTATTTGGAACCATGGGATTAAAATTTAGTAGATATCTTACACGAAATGGCTTACAGGAAGTACCTATAGTGGCTTGCTTTGTATGTTAGTAAATGTAGGACTCTTGCTTTATAGCTGCCAATATGTATTTCTGTCCTTATATTGAATAGACTTTGTTTTGTAATAAAATATATATTTTGTAATTGACATATTTGTAAATGTATGAAAATTTGCTTTGATTCACCTTAAATTAAATAACCCATATTATCCATTCATTTTCAAGCATGATAATATAAAAGTCAGCAATCAGAAAAAACAAGAGAGAACTCTTTTACTAAAATTTGAAATTCGGTCATTTTACTGTCATATCACATACCATATCATCTATATTAATATATTATTGTGCATTTATGTCAATGTTGCTGAAATGTTTAAATGTGGAAGTCAGATTGATGTCAAATTGTTTTTAAAACATGATGCTTATGCTGCAGACTAGCAGACCAAGGTAGAAAATATATTCAAAACATCAATATTAAGGAAAAGCATATTTATTTCAGGTACCTCAAAAGGATCTAAGCAGAGTGAAAGTAAAATGAATGGTCCCTCGTCAGAGAGAGAGGCGAGAGCTAACGGTCCCCGGCAGAATGGCAGTGCAAACAGCACGATAGAGAGCGAATATGACACGGCGTATGAACCAACGTTACACTCTGATGAGACCTATGAACCAGTGAATGTTAATCGCAAAGTGAGAATAACTTCAGCTTTTGTTTAGACAAACATTTTATAATAGCAGCTGTGATTTGGTCTTTGTGCTTTGAATTTACACTGAAATAATATGATAGAGTAAAGAGTTTTGGTGTAAGTCAAGTCACTTTGGAGATGTTTTCACATACATGTATAAATACGATGTTTTAATTTATATATATATTTGGGTGCACAGTATGGTTACCTCTTAGTGGTTCTCACTCAAAATGAAATGGAAGATGTGACAGAAGCATTATAAATGATTATTTATACTTTGTGTAATATATTATTTAGAAATCAATAAAGAAAATTATTACAATTTCTGAACTAGACTCAAACGGTTTTCAACTGTCTCTCTCTCCTCCAGGCACCACTCTTTGTTAATTGCCACATGCTAACATCACACATAAAAGTTTCTTTCATTTAACTTGGCTGTATATTTGACTTGATATTTCCAGTCACATGATGAAGACGATGACCAATACATGGAATTAAGGGAGGAGCCGAGAGGGTTGTATGGCGTTGCTGCAGACGACCCGGAATGTTATCAAGTACCTCCGTCGAATTTGCCTCTCACAAAATTGCCTCCTGGTGTCTTGTATAGAGTAAGTTGAATAACATAGAAAACTATATAGACTTGTATAAAGTAAGTTGAACAATATAGAAAACTGTATAGTCTTGTATAGAATTCTTTCTTTTGTGCTAAGGAAATGAATATATTACGGCAATCGTGTTTTGATGAAAGAGTTTCATTCTTTATATCAGGGCTGCTCTGCAGTCACAGAAAATAAAAAAAAAATGCTCTGTTGAAATGTGCAAATAAATATGCACCTGTCATCAGTACAATAATTGTTTGAATAAATTGTACACATTTATGTGAATATAACACAGCAGTTCGGAGAGCCAATGGTTGTGAATCACATTTGACATTACCGTAATGACTCAATATTTTCAATAGGGAAAAATTTGGAATTTTAAATGCTTGATAAGTCATTATGTTATTATATAATACAATTATAATAATATTTATTTATTTATAATATTTGTTTTATCTCCAGGTTCAGGCTACTCACATTTACACGGGAGAGGATGTAGACGAGCTGACATTTGAAACGGGAGAAATAATCGATGTTGTTCCATTTGATGATCCTGAAGACCAGGATGAGGGATGGCTCATGGGAATCAAACAGTCCGATAAAACAAAAGGCGTGTTTCCTGCTAATTTCACCAAACCCATTTAGCCATCTTACCTCAACCAAGTGGAGACATACTGAAGAATACAGAAATAGGCTATAGACTAAGTCTGTTTGTAAATAAGAGATACATGATCTTTGTGTATTCCGTTGAAATCTAGGTGGCAATATTATTTTTAAAAAAAGCTGCTGTGTTATCTGTATCATTGCTGAACACTGTTGTGCCTATGGTTGTATATTCTCGCCTTTCAGAGATTCTTAAATAGAAATGCACAGTTTGTATGTATATAGAGCTATTTGGCTGTTCTTAGTGTTGAGAAACAGGGATTAGCAGGGTAGCTTATTTTAGGGTCTTTGTAACCTCTTTAGTTGACTGTTTTCAGATTTTGATACTGAATGTACATTGCACACAGCTGATGTTATGTTTTGTTGACATGTTCTCTTTGCACTTTTCTCAGTCTTGTGTTTGATTAAATTAAAATATATGTCAGGTGTATTGATCATTCTTCAGAGCTGTAAGTGTTTGATTCAAGTTTAAAGGAAAGGGCACTTGCACAGCTCCTTTTATCTACCAAACAGAGCTAATCCGAAATGTATCATTTAGTTTCTGAAGTGAAGCATGCCAAGTCCATTCTCTGTGGCAATTTGAAAATGACACAAAATGAAAACGAGAAATCCATCCAAGTTGAATGTGCAATGTGTGTGCCAAGTTCCTAATGTTTAAAGTCTTGCATAATAAGCGGTGTTCATTTTTGGTAGTTCTGTGTTAAGCTTTACATGTAAGCAGCATTGTTTTTCTTCCAGTTTTAAACTGAGCCTTAATGTTGTTGAACAAATGCTTCCAGGTTAAGTTGTATGTGCAGCCTTCTGACACTTTCTGACACCAGTGCAAACATGACCTACGCAATTTTTTTTACAAATATGTGGATTAAAGAACAAGTTTGTATGTTGAAGGTAACTTCTATGTCTTTGTTGACATTGTTTATTTTGCAATATTGCATGTTTGTACATTCAGTTAATTTTGGATATTTTGTGTGAGCATTTGCTGAGTTTTATCTGGTGATTAAATTGGAAAAAATATCAAATCAGGTGGCGCAGGTAACATACTGAATGGTTCTTGGGGTGTAAGTACCCCCTTTGAATGTGATACTTTTTAGACAGGTAGAAGCTGTCTGAAAGCTTCCAATCTTAATTGTTTTGAATCATGAAAGAATCTAATCTTTGTGATTGATATTTGATTCTAATGCACAAATTAGTGGACAGCAGATGGAGAGAAGTAATGCAGTTAGTGATAAATATGTTTGATGAGAAGGCTTAAAATTTAGCATTAGATGGATCTGATGCCAGTGAGCAGAGATGAGAAACTGATTATGAATGATGTATTGCTGCACATCATGTGGGGTGAAAATTAAGGCAAGAACAACTGTGACATGCCACACGATGAGAGTAAGGATGAAATTTGTCAGTTTGCTAATGGATTTATATATGAGTGAAATTGCAAATTATGTAATCGATGCCATTAAGTTATATCTGATGGATCTGTAGAGAGGGGACATTGGCCAGAATGGATCAGGAAATCCTAGTTTGAGAAAAAGATGTAATGGCTTGGTTTGAATTCTCAAATTGTTATTGGTTCCTCACTGCATTCAGTGAGGTGTTTGAGGTAACATATGATGGTTTAAGTTAACAGGCAGCTCTGTTGAAAATACAGAACCACAAAGAATTTGGTGAAAAGAGTAAACGGTCTCTTTTGAGTCTAAACATTGTTTTTGACTCTGTGGGCTGACATTTGATTCTTAATCAAAGGGTCTAAATCACTTTGATTTCTTTGAGGAAGGATCTCAATGTCATGCTTCACAGATGAAAAATTTTAGTCTCTTTATAAA